AGGAAAGCTCATAAGCTCAGTATTAGAAGTATTGGAATCAGGGGTTGAGTTGCTAGAAGAGGAAATTCAAATAATCAGTTTCCTGTATGCATAAAACAGAACAAGTACTTCATAGGAAAGCTGTTAAGGTAAGATAATTTATGCTAAAAGGTGCTCAAGCCTTAGGAAAGAATATTATATAAATCAATAATAGATCATTATCATCATTAGGAGGTATGTCGATATATCTCATGTGTTTCTCCATAAAGAAGAAAGTATTTTATAAAGTGGTCAAGATGCTTTTCTGATCATGTCTAATTAAACAATTATTCTGCCTGCCATAGTCCTTTGAGGGCTATGAATTCTGAGATTTTGACCCTGATATTTGTTAATGCAAGGAGATGGCCCCTAACCTGTGCAAACCTGTAAAGTTTAGTTTGTTCATTCATCTAACAAACATTTCCTAAGTCTCTCTCTGAGCCAGGCTCTATACTAGTGCCAGAAATAGGCCTGGCCTCTGCCTTCAAAATAATGAAAGCAAACACACAAACAAATTCAATGGTGTCCAAGCATAGAGAGAAGACCAACATGGCTAAGTCAGAGAAAAGAGTAGAGTGGTGTGGATAGACAAAGGCCAGAGATGTTCAGGGGAACTCTCCCATGTTCTGGTCATAGTAAAAAGTGTGGAATTTGTTTCAAGTGCATTTGCAAATCCACAGTTAAATGTTCTTCCCACATTCTAAGTGAAAGTAGAACTGAATTCCCCAGTAGAAATTTCCCCTAGCTGTTGGCAGGGGATGAACAGCATACTCAAATATTATAACACGTGACAATGAGAGGACTTCATGCATGGGCTTTGGAAATCAGAGGTTGAACATGTTATCAGGAAATTGGGTCACACTGTGACCACATCCCAGCATGAGGGTGGGGCTTGAATCCCTAGTAATCTCATGCTTTTCTATCTTTGTACGTGAAGGAGAAAGAATGAAAGTAGCCTTTGTTAAGACCTTCTTTGTGTTGGGAATTTTATACATATTTTCTGATTTAAACTACCAACTCTTAAGAGTAAATATTATTTTCCCCTTTTACCAATGAAGAAATTGAAACTTTGAGAGGTCGAAGGTTTGGTTCAAGTTTATATAGCTTGTCTGAGTTCAGACCTACATCAGTCCTCTAAAAGGCACATCCTTAGGGGACACCTGAGGATCCTTCTCTGGACACCTGAGTGGCTCAGTTGGTTAAGTGTCCAGCCAGCTCAGGTCATAATCTCACAGTTCATAATCTTGCAGTTTGTGAGTTTGAGCCCCACATCTGGCTCTCTGCTGACAGCTCTGAGCCTGGATGGAGTCTGCTTAGGATTCTGTGTCTCCCTCTCTCTCCCCTTCACCTGCTCTCACTCTGTCTCTCTTTCTCTCAAAAATAAATAAATATTTTTTAAAAATTTAAAGGGCACATATTCTCATCACACTACAGGGCCCCTAAGGATGGGTGGTATGAGGAAAATCAGACCCCAAGGCAGGCTTGCTCAACAGAGGACTAGTCACCAGAATATGTAAGTACTGTAGGGGCCACTTTGGGTGGTTAGAATTCTGTGCTGTTGAAAATAAATAGGGAATCTGATTTTCTCTTCAACTAGATATTAGTTTCCAGTTAATCCATTAGTTTTCTCTGGCTACTGGGCACAGATGTTAACTTGGCTATTTGGCTCACCAAATGCTACTGATCGAGAAGAAAACCAGACTTTTCTTTTGTTTCTCAAAAGTATAGCTGAAAAGTTATGGAAAATTTTCTTGATAGAAATAAAAATAGAATTCAGCTATGGGTATTATACTTGTAAAATCCTGTAAATGATCACCTGATTTTTCCTTTCCTAGAAATGACAAATTCAGATGCTTTAAAATTAGAATGCAGGGGGTTTTCTGAAGAGCTGCGCCTCACTGTGGCTTCACACTTTATGTGGAAACCTTACTTTCATGTGTGTTGGGTCACGGAAGGCAATGTGTATCTGTTTACAATGTACTTGATCTCCTAAGAAGCTCTCCCATTACCTTTTGTATTAAGAGGAAAAGAAGGAATTCCATCCAAATGAACACACACACACACCACACACACACACACTCACTCACTCATTCACACACACATATACATATCACATATATACATATACACATAAATACATACATAAATATGCAAATTATGATGTGCATATAAGTATATATATGATTATGAAATTTGATTTTTCTGTGGCAAACATTTTTATATTAAGAATATCCACCGCAATTATGTTCTATTTATTTCTTTCATAATTAAACTGATAGGCTATTAAAGTATTTCACGTTATACTGTAGCCAAAGTTGAGGGAATGAAGGTCACGTAAGGAATTTTCATTATTTAAATAGATAGGGTATACAATGACTCTCTCCTATAGTTTTACAATTTTAGTGCAGTTTCAAATGGTAAGGTCTGAAAAACAGTTTGGTCACTCTTGAATTTGCTGTAAATTTTTCTGATGAGTGAAGGGAGAAAAGAAATAGAAATGACTTTGTTCTTCCAGTTTAAGAATAGCTTTTCTGAAGAAAGGAACTCACATATATCTCCTCAGCAATATTTTATTAACTGCATTTTTCTTCAGTAGTAAACACAGGAAATCATGGTCTATTGATTAGCACAGTCTACCTTCCTCTTGTGCTTCTGGGGAAAGAAGTACAAATTAAGCAGGGGATTTAACAGCACATGTGAAGTGTACGGTGTTCAGATAAAAGTTAATTAGAAAACACTTTTGTGCAAAGTTAGTTCAATTTGTTTGGTCAGTTTTCAGCCAGAATTTCCTTTCGGCCTAATGAGGTATGATTCAGGTGATACCGAATTATATTCTTAGATTAAAAATTACTTGGAAGATTTTTAAATGAACTGGAAGTTTCCTATTGTTGTTTTGTACTATCTATAAAGAATTAAAAGGCAAACTATTTCACAAAACACTATGTCTGCACTTATGAAAAGAATCTGAAAATGTCTAGAGAGCATAAATATTTAAATGTGAGACCGGACTTGACATGGAAAAACTTCCTGTTTGTGGCCTGACTTCTTCTTACCATGTCTTACCAGTAGCCATGTCCTATATCAGTCTTAAAATTTGTAAGGTAGGAGTGGTAGTGACAGGGATTGGATTTTTTGTAATTAGCTGTATGTATAATTCGGAGCTTGGAAAATAAGATAAAGAGACTGAAATGTTTTTATTTATTTATTTATTTATTTATTTATTTTTCAGATGGGGGAGGGGAGAGAGAGAGAGGGAGAGAAAGAATCAGAAGCAGATTCCACACCTAGCACGGGGCCTGACTTGGGGCTCGATGAAGGGCTTAACGAGGGGCTCGATCTCAGCACTGTGAGATCATGACCTGACTCGAAATCAAGTCAGATACTTAACCGACTGGGCTACTCAGGCACCCCAAGATGCCAGTGTTTTAAAGGACAGAATCAAAGAAGAGAGTCAGAGGTGATAAAAGTGTGAAAAAACAGATTTGGCACAACTGGACTTTGCCTCCATGTAGTATGTTATCTCCATACATTGATTAAGAAGATGAAAACCCACATCAACAAATACACTTGGTAAAAAGATGTGAGGAGAGATGCCAGCTAGTGTTTGGGACAACAGGTGAATGGAGGACTGTGGCAAGTCCCAGCCTCAGGACCTGCCGCAAAGGGCGCTGTAGCGCAGTGAGGCCGTGTGCACCAAACACCGCCTCGGAGCTTCAGCACTTTAAAACTGCAGGGAAGCTACTCCCTCTCACCCACAGCCCTCCCAGGGCACGGGATGATTATCATCTGCCACATCTGAATGGTCTCAGAGAACAGAACTCCAGAAACTGCCATTTGGGGGTTCTTCTGCTGAAGAGGCTTCCTTGCTGCCCAGACGCCTCATAAGCCCACCCTTTTACAGAGCTCCAATAAGGATTTTCATACCACGCTCTTAGTGATGTACCAACAGCCAAAGATAGCTAGACACTGAAAGAAAGCCTCAAAGATGAAAGACAGAGATCAAAGCAAACAGAAAAAAGAAATCAGAGACAAATAAAGACAATGAAAGGGACAGAAGGAGAAAATGATAATAACCTCAGAGAAAGAACACATTCCATGTATGTATTTAGTTCTTAGTGTCTAGTACATGCCGGATACTTTTTTGCACTAATTTTATAATAATGTCTCACGTGATTGTCATAGTATTCTCTTTGAGGTATGCACTCCTATCATGTCCATTTTATAGAAAGGCCAAGTAACTTTCCAAGGGCATCCTACTAAACAGTAGAGCCAGGATTTGAAATGGGGTAGTCTACTAGGTTCAAAAGTACACTGTCTTACCCAGTACATCTTACTACCTTACCAAGAATTAAGAACAGAATGTTATTTCCCCATTTTCTTTACTCAGTTATAATAATATGTTATTATTAAAATATACCTATGAAATAAAAGGTAAGACCTCGAAAATAACCTGTATCTATCAATGCTGCACTCTCCCCTGAATGAATCATTATACTAAGTGCTGTGTTCCTTACTGTTTCCTTTTTTTTTTAACTCTGTGTGTTTTTTCTTTAAAGAACATCATACTATATGTAATTCCTCTTGAAATGTTTCTTTTCACTTAATATTATATTTTTAAGATCGTCTATATTGTTGAATGACAGTTGATTTCATTAATTTTTACTGCTGCATGAAAAATAAAAAGGACAGAATATTATAAAACAACAATCAGAAAAAACTTCTGCAAAATAAAACACCACAGCTAACAATATTTATTAGATCATTAGTAAAAAAAGTAATGGAATTTCCTAGAAAGTAAAAAACAAACAAACAAACAGAACAAAACAAAACAAATAAAAAGTAGTAAAAACATAGAAATATGAAAAAATATGCTTTTCTATCCAGGATGTCTAACATTGGAATAATTAGATTATCAGAAAGAGAGAACAAAGAGAGAGAGATTAAGAACTTATTAAAGAAACACAGATTAGAAGGTGTGCGTTTTCATTTTGGAATGCTTCATGAATTTGCGTGTGACCCTTGTGCAGGGGCCATGTTAATCTTTTCTGTATAATTCTAATTTTAGTATACTTGCTGCTGAAGTGAGGATGTGTTTCCATTTTGAAAGAACCACTCAATGGACAGTACAGGAGATGAAAAAAAACCCATATCAAGCCATATAATATGAGATTTTAGGACATGCCAAGCCTAAAGGGGAAATACAGATAGAGACAGAGAGTCCATATACTATAAACCAGGAATCACAATGACATTAGACTTTTCAATAACAACTCTGGAGGTTAGAGGACAATGTAGGGACCTTCTAAATTCTATGGAAGAATAAGGGTAGAATTCTATTTCAGGTCAAAATAGCATCCACATGTGAAGGATCTATGAGGACCTAGAACACTTCCATTTGGGAGGTGTGTTTTAGCAAATAAGAAAATAGACAACTACAGTGATGTGAGACTCAGGCCACAGAGTATCCAAGTCAAGAGTGAATGTTCCATTTCAGCCTTAGCCGTGTATATTTAGAGAATAACCAGAACCCTTGGAACAGAGAAAAAAATAAACCTGAAATGTTTGAACATTTGAAATTACAAGTATGAAAAAAAAATGAAATTGTAAGTATGATGCCTATATTTAAATATTCAAAAGTAATCAGTTGATAAATTTGTTGGGGCATTTATCTGGTATATATTAACAATTCTACATAGAGAACCAATTATTGAAAAAAATGAAAGTAATCATGAACTCTAAAAATGGACAAAAAAATTAAACGTAAAGCACTAAACACAACTTGAGTTAGCCACAGACAATATTTACAAAATAATAATGACTAATGATTTAACTAAATAATTATAGGGGAGTTGAGGAGTGAAAAGAGTACAAAATCTTCAAGGATAAAAATAGGAATCGACAGGTAATTTTAATAATCAAGAAAGTTTGGGCCTATTCTGGAAAAACATGAATCTAAGCAATGAGAAAAATGGTTTCAATACTAGAGGGAGTCAGGAAAAGAACTACTAGGAATTCTGGGGGTTGAAAGGGAAGTTTTTGCTTTTTTAAATTTTTAGGGTAATCGTTTTAATTTTTACAAAACTTAAAATGATATTTAGATGTGTCCAAGGGAGAAGTATTATAGAAACGTGAAAATAATGACCATAATTTGGATGTGACTTTGAGGCAAGCTAAAACTGGTCATATTAAGAGTCAAAGATTAAGAGAATAATACATAAATTTTAGAAACATAAATTTGAGAGCTATATGTCCAGATCAAGGGGTAAATAGAATGTGCTCCTGGTAATATCTTCACAGGTAGTATTAGCTTATAGATGAAAAGTATCAAAAGCCATCATGCGGTACTTCAGAACATAGAGAATTCCATAAAGTTGTGGATGAGTCTAATTTGTACTCCTACTCTTATTTTTATAAGTGTGAAATTATTATTAAAGATAGCATTGAGGGGCTCCTAACTTTTAGACTCACAACTCACAAGGTAGCTTGGGTTGGAGAAGGAAAATGAAGTGGTAGCAGATATCCCTGTGGTGCTGAGTCTTAATTAAAGAGGGTTCTACAAGGGGCACCTGAGTGGCTCAATCTGGTGGGTGTCCAACATGAGCTCAGGTCATGATCTCACGGTTTGTGAGTTCGAGCCCTGCGTCAAGCTCTTTGCTGACAGCTCAGAGCCTGGACCCTGCTTTGGATTCTGTGTCTCCCTCTTTCTCTGCTCCTCCCTTGTTCACGCTCTGTCTCTCTGCCTCTCTCAAAAATAAACATTTAAAAACCTTTAAAAAAAAAAAAGAGGGTTCTAGATGGGCTGCACACTTACTGATTTCAAATTATTTTAACGATTGAAAATAATTAGCATTACCTTCTTCCCATCCTTTCCCATTTGGAGCCTAACCTCCAAATAAATCACTCCCATTTTATAGCGGGTCTTTAAATATACCAATGCATAACTATGATAGATAACTATGGTTATGAGCTGAGGCTTTGGATTAAATCCTGATTCCACCACTTCTGGCTAGACAAACTGGACACCATATATAACTTTACCTAGAAGTTGAGGATGATACGTTAGACCAGCTTATGGAGGTTTTCTGAGGATTACATGGAAAACATGACTGAAATACTTAGCATTATGGTAGCCATGTAATCACTCAAAATTGATACTCATTATTATTAACTTTGAAACTAAGATTACTTCATAAGTATTATAACTTTGAATCACAAATAGATGAAATTTCATTTTACTATTACTTATGGTGACTCCTTAGAAAGTATATATTTATAATTTATTGAATAATCTGAATAATTTGCACTTATTTTGAACCTAGTTCCCCTAATTGTTTTTGTCTTTTTGGAACTGGTACACCTCACTTTTTGTTTACTAAGTCTTTTCTAATGTTGTTTTCCAACATCATGTTGTTTTCCAACATCTTGCCGTGCATAGATATAATCTGAGAAGTTGTCTCTTTCAAGACAGTTTCTTACTGTATGATTCTTTACATTCCCCATGCATCTTAGATCATTGCTCCTTTTTATTCATCTCCAGTCTCTATTTCTTCTACAAGTAAGATAATGAGATAAGATTCTCAATTGTCATGTGGGAAACTTAAAATATGAAATAATGTTGCAAACCCAGGCTCTCTCCCAAGAGACTTCCAAAGATCTCTAGGGCCTGCCCAGCAGCTCTCCTGTCTCAGAAGGATAATGTTTGTGCAGACCAAGAGTGGATATAAAGGTTACTCATTGAGCTTAAAATCAAAACAAAATAAAGAGAAGTAGTTAGAAAAAATATATCGTTTACTGAAATCCATCTAAAATTGTTTGAGGCATCCATCTCCACATGATGGATTATCTTGTCAGAGAGTTGATGCTTGAGGTTTACTGATGCTCCCTTTCTTGAAACCAGTGGCTTGAGTGGATACTATCAAATATTTACCTCTGTTACACTTTTTTTTAATGTTTTTTTTTATTATTATTTATTTCTAGGAGAGAGAGAGAGACAGACAGCGTGAGCAGGGGAGGGTCAGAGAGAGAGGGAGTCACAGACTGAAACAGGCTCCAGGCTCCGAGCTGGCAGTCAGCACAGGGCCCGACGCGGGGCTCAAACCCACGAACCGCGAGATCATGACCTAAGCGAAAGTCGGACGCCCAACCGACTAAGCCACCCAGGCGCCCCACCTCTGTTACACTTCTTTCTATATGTAGGGCAATATGAATTAAGATATCCTCCCACCTTCTAAATGGTTTGGCCATCACCCCATCACTGTTAATGAAGGTATAAGAACTCTGTGATAAAACTCAGGCAAGGCATCATATCACAAAGAGAAATTAAGAGATGAAATATTAATTTCTCATATAGATTTTATATGGGTTTTTGGAAGAAAATTAATCCTTGAGATAAATATGCTTAATTTCAGGCCCCACTGAGAAAAACAAACCCCTACAGCTTCTTAATACCTCCTGTTAATAGGATAAGAATTTTCTCTTCTCCCCACTATCTCCTCAAAAATCCTTCTTCATTCCATAAAGCAGGTCACTGGGCAAAGCAGAAAAGCCACTGTAACACTTTTCAATGAGAAAGACATTAGAAGGGATTTCAAGAGTTTAGGGAAGGGGGTGGGTCCCTTCCAAAAAAGGTTAGAAAATAGAGACTCCAGAGACAAAATGGGAAATGTAAAAGATTCACAGAGAATCCTCCATTCTCTTCCACTGCCTCCCCACTTCATCCCCACTGTAGGTCTGAGGGGAATATCCATGCCACCATTTCTCTATAAACCCCCAAGTGTTTTATCCATCATATTGTAAGAATAAGTTAGATATCTGGAGGGTGCAACACCATTATGTTGTATATGGCTGTATGACTTTGAAACTATCAACCGAATTACTGGGTAAAGAACTGCAAGAACATCAGATTGCTATGTGCATTTGCTTAAAGAAACTCTGTGTAGAGTTAGGATTTGTATGATACGTAGGATCTCCACTTCTAGCAAGCCATAAACAGGCAGGAACAGAGCAGCCCCACTGGGCTTCCTTCTATAAATTTTCGTTTCCCATTCTGTAGAGAGAAACTTGCTCTGAGGAACCAGAAAGAGAAGCAGAACTATCAGGTTTAAGTTGTTTCAATGATTGACTCCTTCTTTTCCTTATCATAAGTGACTAAAGTCTGTATACCTAACTGGACTGCAATCCATTTTTTTCTATAAGGATTCTATTTTACATTAAATATTAATTTCAGAGCTGTACTTCATGATAACAATCTCGGTTCTCTTATTTTTCACGTTCTTGGAAGATGTTTTACTCTTGTCCTCCTCCAACAATACATTTGAGGTATAGTCGGGAGTATTTTAGGTTATAGTTACTGAAGCAGCTTTTGGTCACGGAAGCATTAGATTTACTGTGACTGAGTCCCCATGCTGGAGGTGTATACATTTAGGGGGTATGGGGATTATAGTTCCATTTTAAAAGATTTGAAAACCCTCCTTCAATTGAACAAATATATGTCTCCTTAAAATATAGACTAGGATTAATCTAAACATTATTAATTTCAGTCTTCAACCTGATGACAGGGAGCAAAGAGACAGAGGTCATCAGGCAACCAAGATATCAGAATGAAAGACATCAGACCGCATTTTGTTTTATGTATATTTTTCTGATTTTAATTTGATAATTCATGTCATAGCAATCCACCAATAAATATGTGTTGAACTGCTGAAACAATTCTATTGGTTCACTTTGTTTTCCCATGAGATCTACCTTCCAATAACTGTTACTTGATGGCAATTTCTCTAAAATTTTGACAACCCCTATGATGCAGAAATAGTAACTAATATATATGTCAGAAAGTCCCAGCCCTGTTTCACCCTGCCTGGTTCTAAGACCATTAAGGTATTTGCAAAAACAAAGTACCCAGACTGCTGTTTTGCAATTTCCCTGCTTCAGAACATGTCTTAAGCAACATGTGGTTTAGTGGTTTAATCATGATAGGGAGTTAGATGTTCTCAACTGACTCCATTTTTGTTTCGCCTTTGACTTTTGAATTTGCTGGGTTATTCTGGTCACTCATTAAATATCTTGGTGGCCCCAGAATTCCAAAA